TCTGTGAATGTATCCTCCTTCAGGTGGAGTCTGGCTATGTCTGTGAAGGGGATCACAAGACAATGGCGAAGGCTATCAAGGACAGGGTATCTTTGATTAAGCGCAAGCGAGAGCAGCGCCAGTCGGTGCAAGAAGAACAGGAGAATATACTTCAGGAAGAAGGTAGTCAGAAGCAGCAGCTGGAGCAACAGCAGCCATCAAGTGCTTCCCATGCAGGGTCAAAGCATCCCCAGTCTGTCACTGGTACTGCTCCTGTCCCCACTGCTTCAGCGTCGGTTTCTACGCAAGTGGAGCCTGAAGAGCCGGAAGCTGATCAACACCAACAGCTGCAGTTCCAGCAACCCAGTATATCTGTTCTTTGTAAGTGCCTCAGTTGGTTTCTTTAGGAACTCTTGCACTTACACAGCTCCTCCCATTAGTCTTACACTTTTGGTGGGTACAGCAGTAAATCCCTTAAGATGATGCTGTCTGCCATTGCTGCTGCTGAAGAACAATAGGCCACTAGAAGGCACAGCAACGTAAGATGCATTCCTGTGGCTCAGCTGAGCCAAGGCTTGGCACGATTCACAGCCCAGTGTCTTAGCACAAAACGGTTTCTCTTTGTTTCAAGGCAATATACCACATGAACTGGGGCACCTAGAGCATGAACACGTGCCCTTGGTTTTGCTGCCCTCCTACAGGGACATTATATTCTGGCCTATTCTATACAGGATATATTCTATATCCTATATACTATATTCTGGTATATAGACGGCTGTATGCTCCTGCACCAGTGCAGATCAGGCTATTAAAACCACTTATTTGAATCCTTGTTAACTTACTTTTAAAGTGGAAATGAGATTAATCTGCAAGTAGTTCAGTTCATAACTTCCTTTCTGAAAGGTCTTAATTTTCTGTTTTACATACTGTACATGCAAAGATGAATTAATAATCGTGTCTTTTCCTCTTCTTCCATGCCAGCATTTGAATCAGTATTTGAATAATGGTGGAAGATGACAACTTCCATATTAGAATGATAAAGTTAAAAAGCAAATTACTGTCTGCTCTTTAGATAATAGGGATTTTAAATTGACTATTGTGCCTAGTTCGCTTACTGTGCTTACACGGTACATCTGCCAGCCAGCACAACACACCTACTTTAAATGTCTGTGTAAAATAAAAATAATGATTAATAAACCTTGAAAGATCATTCATAACAATGTGGAATTTAGGTTTCTAATTCTAATCTAGTCTTTTGTAGGAAATGTAGCTTATTCTTAAATATCTTCCCAAAGAACTCCTGAAATGAGTAATTTTTTCAGGGTTTTAGGGGAAGGCATAATGAAGGAAAAAACGATTTTAAAATCGGCTTAAATATTACAAGAGGCAAAATGCTAAAAAAGGTCCACGTGACATGGCACAAAAATCAATTTAATATTTGATCAATTATAGGATCTTTGAAATTTTTAATCCAGACCACAGTTCTTGAAATGCAGCTTTTTATCTTTAACTTTTGCAGCTGATGGAACAGTTGACAGTGGCCAGGGGTCATCTGTGTACACTGAATCTGTGAGCAGTCAGCAGGCTGTGTCCTATGGCTCCCAGCACGACCAGTCAGTCTCAAGCACTGGAGTCCAGGGATACCCAGCTTCAGTTGGCCAAGTGCAGTCCCAGCAGCATGGAGGATATCAGCCACCTGCAGCGGTAAGCCAGACCTTACAGCACTGCAAATGCATGGAATTACTTGATTTTCTCTGTCTGTTGGAAGGTGAGAAGAAAGTCTGCCAGGCCATCTTCCACATATGTTTTGTTTTGCATAGGATACAAATTCTGCGTGGGAGGAGTTTAGGGGCTTTTTTTTTTTTTTTTTTTTTTTTTTTGCAAGATGACTGATTTTAGAGGGGGAGGGAAAAGTGCAAGAGCATCTTTGTCTTTAAAGCTTTTATTTGATCTTGGCTGCAGTGAAGCAGAATGATGGACTAGTTATTTTTGTGAATAGAAGTCACATCCTCAGAACAAGACTACCTCATGAAAATAAGTTTTTAATCTTGCTTGGGAAGGTGGTGTGTGTATGAGTGTATGAAGTTACCAGGCATGAAGCTGCTGATTTAGTTTATAGAAAGGGATTAGAGTAATTGAAGCCACTGTATGAAATTGCTATGTGTGTTCTGTGAGACTTTGATTACAGATTTTGCAGGTAAGACTTTTTTTAACTGTTCCAGAATATTGCATGTGAGAAATCCAGACTGAAAAGACCCCACATCCTTGTTCCCAGTTTTATTTCTAGCTTGTGTTGATTTGCTCATCATGCGTATTCCTTTTCCCTGGAAAGTCTGCACTGGGCACAAATACTTTTCCTACTATGTTCATTTGTGTTGCCCTTTTATTTTGGTATGTTTTTTCCTTGGTATGTTTTTAGATCTGAGTAAGAGAGTCTGCAGAAATGTATTCTAACTCTGGAGTAGAACCTCTGTTACTTTTATATTGTCTTCAGTGGTTCCCTTGTCGCTTGTTTTTTTACACAAATAAAAATCCAAGACTGAGGCAGACATTATGGTATAATGTAGTAATACCATCAAGGAGACACTTCAGATTGAGGGTGCTCACTTCTGCTGGTACCTGTGCTTGTAGGCTTTATTACAGAATCATTGGTGTAACTAGGATTTTGGCAAACAGGCTGCGATCACCCACAATCAAAGCATCTCCCTCTTTTTCAATGACACTTAACCTGAGGTATGTGGTACTGTTAGTCCTTGGTGATGAGTGCTTAATCCCTCTAAACAAGCTGCTCTTCTGGGTAAGCCATACTTCGGTGTGTGGGCACATACTGGACCAGAAGCCATGTCACTCTCTTGGGATGGCTGGCTTCCAGGCTGAAAGACCAGAATCTTTAGGGAGGAGGAGGAGCGAGAACAAACATATGATAGTGGTGTAGCTAAGCTGCTTAGTTTGCTGCAAAAATGTGCTCATGCTGTATGATGACAACAGTGTTACCAGGAGGCTGACAGACTACAGGGACTACTAATCCTTTATTGGGAAGGGGCTGACAGGTCGAAATTATATTGACAACTGAAGAAATGGCCTTAAAAAGACTCACAGAATGCAGTTTGATCAGGACAAGAACAAGGTTCGTGCTAAAACTGGAATAATCAGTTACACAAGTACATAATGAGTAAGCACTGGCTAGGCAGCCATTTTGCAAAATAAATTTTTAAAAAGTCAGGGACTATATTGGACCACAAGCTGGACATGGTCAAAAACATCATGCTTTTGAAAAAAGGCAAACATCCCATTCTATGAAATAGTAGTTCTGCTCTTGGCTATTGGTAAGTCTATCCTAGACACCTTGGTTGAATGAATTGGGGGGTGGCTTGGGAGAAAATCCAGAGGAGAGTGTTAAAAAAGCCCTAGGAGAAATACAAAAAATGTGGTTTATGTGGGAGGACTGAAATAATTGAGTCTATACAAGATAAGCTTGAGGAGAGAGAAAGCTGTAAAAAGCTGCTATGAAGTAAGAGGAGGCTAATCAGATCACAACATTGTTGTGAGAATAAGGAGTGATAAGTCTAAATTGCTTGGAATTATTGTTTGAGAAGGGGTTTTTTTAATACTCATCAAAGATAGATAAGTATTGTAGTCTCCATCAGTGGAGATGTTTCTGAACTAAATTAGAGTCTGGAATGATGTATAACTACTCCTGCCTTGGAATAGATGAAGATGTATTTAGTTAACCATTTGAGTTCTTTTCTACCTCTCTCTCAAATTTTTAATCAGTCTAGGAAGATTTCTCACAACAGAAATCTTGAAATCAGATCTCCCCTGAATATCTTGCTGTTTTCTCTCTGGAGGTCTGTATTTGGTTTTAATTAGCTACTTCCATGAGAAGTGTATACTGCCTCTTTAAAAACATTAAGTTTCCATTCACTTAAAAAACCCACAGCAAAGCACAATACAACACCAAAAAAATAAAAGCAGTAACAAAACCCCTCAAACAAAAAAATGCAAATCCTACCTCAAAACTTTATTCTGTTTCTTCAGTCTATTTGATTGGATTTTGACCTGTGGCCTTCTGGATTGTGGCAAGATTACAAAATCCAGATGCTTTTACTGGCCTAGCATCTGGAAGATGCTTGTCTAAGACTAATTTTCCAGAATTTTCCACAGATTAAACTGAGGTTTTTTTCCACAACTCATGTTACAGAGGGTGTAAGGTTTAAATTTTTAGGGTAATGTTTCAGTTAATAAAGAGCCAGCTGCATACATTTAGTTCTCATAATTCAGGCAGAGAGAGTGCCCCAGTAGAGGAACTAGGTGATACCTGTAAACACACATTCACTCTAAAAACTAATGAATGTTTGAAAGCTCATTAGTATGTAAGTTTTTATTTGTCAGACTACCAGATCCTTTGAAGACACACTCTATGGGCTGTGTCTGTGGCCCCAGAGAAAACATTTTCTGTCTGATCTGCCTTCTCTCATAAGGGTACCAGGGAGCTTTCCACACTGCTCGGTAACCTAAGGCAAACTGGGCTCCCCAGAGGTGCACACAGCCTGTTCCCAGTGTGTCTTGGCATTCATTCAACATTCTCATATCTTGTGGTATCACATATTAGTCAATATTGGGCCTTCCATTATGTGTCTTCATTTTTTCTACCTCATTATAGTTTTTGCTGGTTTTATTACTTTTTTTTTTTTTTTAAGTGTTCAATTCTTAACTTTTGTTTTCCTCCTTTAGCTTCAACGTGGTCGTAGCATGTCAGTTTGTGTCCCCCACCTTCCTGCTCTTCCCTGTATGTCCTGCATCCCTCTCAGTGCTCCTTGCACCCCACCACCAGTGCTGTCTGCACCTCTTTCTCCTTTCTGCCTTCGGACTGTCCCTGAAGAAACCTTTGCAGAAAAGCTTTCTAAAGCCCTGGAAAGTGTCCTGCCCATGCACTCTGCCTCTCCACGCAAGCATCGACGCTCCAGCCTGCCCTCCCTCTCTGTCAGTCCTGTATGTGTTACCATTTGCCTCCTGGCACAGTAAGATAAGTTATCATTAAATACATCCTGGGCTCTGGGCATTTTTAAAGGGAGAAATTGAAGAGTCAATTCCTTATATTGTGCTGCTGGAATATTGATTTTGTTATTTTTGTTTCTATGAAGCAGTACATGTAAACATCAAACAGTGGCTGACTGCTTGTTTCTTGTCTTCTAGGATAGTATAAATGTAAATTACCCAGTTGTACCACAGAAGGTAAAGGGAAGTCTAGTTCGTATTAGCCAAAGTCAGAAATTTTATTTTTCAATTTCTAAGTAAACAACGAATGTTAATTAAACCCTTCAAAAAACAGCCAGCTTTGAAAGCCTGATTGCTGTGGCTGCTTACTCTTAAAGCTTTGGCTACCTGTGATACTGATATTAGATATTTAGAGTATGAATACCTTTGAGGCCTTTTTTGTAAATTCTTATCAGAAATGCCACTTCAACTGCTTCTTAATGGGAAGAAACAGTAGTTTCATGTTTCTTAGAAAGTCAGATACAAAAATAACGTGCAGTAGAGGAGATAGTTACTTTTCCATTTTGAGCTTCAGTTTACACAAAATAAGAAGCAGTTTTGTGTAAAGTGGGACCACGTTTAGAACATAGGAAAGGTACTTAATCTGTAGGAACCTCTCATTAGTCGGTCAATATGGAAATTTGCTGCTGCTTTTCCGGACAAAAGAGGCTGGGGAGAAAGTAAACAGTGTGGAAACAGCAACTTGAAAAAGTCATAAATGCCATTTGTCTTGGACAGTATATTTACTACTGACTCCTACAAGGTTTTTTTCTATTAGGGAAGAGAATACATTGTCTCTGGGCATACTGCAGGCAGACAGGAAAAGATGTAAAATTACTAAATTGTTTGATGTTCTTACATAGAACTCGCTTTAGTGAAATATTCCCTACAACTCTTAAATAAGATGAGCCTCGTCTGAAGTGGTACCTCAGATGGAGTGGAATTGTCTGAGGACTCTGCTGTTATTAAACTTGTGAATGTCTTATTGCCCAGGCAAGGGTTAAGTTTTTTTCAGTGAGTGCTAATTTTCTTTATGAAAGGGTATGATCATAAGTGATTAAATGGTCAATTTTGTCTTATAAAAGGTTTATTTTTAACTTTTTGGATAGGATACAGAACACACTAGCACTGTGGGTTTTGTATTGGAAAATACTAATATCTAATGCCATCTTCTAAGTGTAAATTAGAGGCTCTGTATTGTTGCTGCTCTCAAGTTCTGAATTTCATATTCCACATATGGCAGTGACCTCAGGGGGTTGATTGGATTTCAAGCTCTGATCACAATGGATAGGCCATGACAGCAAGTCTCATTCCATTGTCAGGAGCAAAATTGGTTTCTTTTTGTGAACTATTGGAATTGAACTGGAAAAGCAGCTCTAACACCAGCAAATGTTCCCAATTGTAGCTATGCCTGCCATGGATGTATTTAATGGATATTTACAACTCACCTAAATTTCCTAAGTACTGTATGTTTTTGACCATGAATTGAGTATGAATTCTATAAAGTTACTTCGCAGAACTACCTAGTGAACTGTGCATGTTGATGTGCTTTCACTTTTAATGTATGAATTACCTGTCTTGTTCATGTCAATACAGCCTCAGCATCCTCGTGGGGGAACACCACCGTTCCCAGATTCACAGATATTTTTCCCAAACGTTCATGAACGGCCGGTGTCTTTCTCGCCACCACCTGTCTGCCCGCCGAAGGTGGCAATTGCTCAGCGGCGCAAGAGCACTTCATTTTTGGAAGCCCAAACTTGCCACTTCCAGCCATTGCTGAAGACTGGCCAGAGTTTAGTTCCACCTGGTGGTAGTCCCACCAATTGGACTCCAGAGGCATTTGTTATGCTGGGCACAGCAGCTCAGAGAGTCGCTGGAGAGCCTCTGCATGTGCAAGTTAATCCTGTGTTTGAGCAAGCTCCTGTCCACAGTGACTATAGATCTGGACCAGCACCTCCAGAGGATGCTCACTACAGGATGCATCCAGAAGCTGTGTATCTGGTGGGCATGCACTATCCATCACAGGTATCGGAGCAGTATGATCCAGTAGCTTATACCTCTCACGCGACTGAACAGCATTTGAAGCAGGTCTCTGAGTCAAACCATGGGCAAGGTGGTCCTCCACAAAGCTCTGTGTTCGACTTTCAATCGGGGCAAACATACCTGGCAAGACACATTCAGAACCTGAGGCTGGATTCTGGGGTGGGTCCCCTTTCTCCATTATCCAGTGTTTCAGCTCCCCTGAGTGCAGAGCCAGCTCAGATGACGTTCCACCAGGTATTTGTTCCGCACTCGGCCCCGGCTGTGCTCTCTCACAGTGCTGATGGCAGAGCGAGCTGTGTCTTTGAGTTCCATGTGCACACACAGAGCTCTGCTCCGGCAGAAGGGGCAGCTTTACCCCCACGGGCCTACAGGAGTCGCCGGGGCTCTATGGAGAGCGGCCAAGAGGAGTCCAGCCAAGGCATAGGGTCGCATGGTCGGCTTCAGCCTGTGACAGAGGAGCAGTGTAACTATCTTGGTGCTGGGCTAGCGGGTCCCAGAGGGGGCTCTGCCAGGCGCAGCTGGCCAGAAGGAAGCCCAGAATACTCCAGTGATTCCTCACAGCTGACTTCCTCTGACACTGGTGATTTCCAGTCTCCTCCCCCTACAGGGGGATCATCTTCTGCTTTTGGTTCAGACTTCTCATTGCCCATTGTTCAGCTGCCTCAGAAGGTGTTGCAGGAGTCGCAGCTCTTCATCTGCTACCCCCAGGGAGCCTCAACTCAGCAGGCCTTGTCCACCTCGCTTTCATCAGGACCACCTGCATCCTATCCTCAGGTTACAGGAGCAAACCCTTCCACAATTTCACTGCTTTTTATAAGTCATACTAAAAAGGAAACCTTGCTTTTAGACCTGCTCCATGTGGTTCTAAGAATTAGCATTCGTGGGGGTGTCTTTCCACTGAGTCTATACTAGGATCTCTTTAACTTAAGCAGGTTGCTATGAAATAATGAGGCATTAGCAACCATTTGGTCTGTGTTCAGATTTGGCTGAAATATTGGCAGGGCTGTTGTGTTAAAAGTAAAAAATGGTCAGTATTCCTCCTGGGACTGGCTGTTCTTTTGGTGAGAGATTGCAGGAGTACCAAATTGGCTTTTAAACAGTGGTTTTAATGAAACGTATCTTCACAGTCAGAATCAGCAGTGGTAGTACAACTTGCTTTGTGTTTCTGTTGCTGCTCTTTAGCCATTTTAATGTGTTTATTAGAGGTTGAAATTTCATACAAATAATGTTTCTTTAGACAACAAGGTTATTTTGGTGACTGTCCAAAATGCAAGAGCTTTTTCTAGACTTGGGGAAAGAAAATGGGAAGAGAGGAATGGAAGGAGCTGTGTTATGTATGTGTACATGGATTTGGAAATGTATTTGTTGAAGAAGTATTTGAAGAAGCTAAACAGTGTGAGTAGTCAATTAATGGCACAAACAACTGTTGCTAGTTGGTATTGCCACCCTATAAGCCTTATATAGTGTCCTTTTAAATAGCAAAATTTGAGGCCTGAAGCTTAGTTTGGAGATGTGTGTTTTATCAGCATATGTGATATTTGCATTTGCAATGGTCACTCTTCTGTACACTGTGAGGTGTGTGTCTATATACATTGTGTCTGCACTCCTAGTCTGAAGTCTCATAACTTTCTGTGAAAAGAGAGGATTTACTTTAAGTAGACTTCTCTCTAACATCTTTTGTCCTTGGAATTGGGGGCTTTGACATTTTAGTTTCTGGAGTATTAGCAACTTTGGGATTTGTGTGAAGAAGAATAATAATTTTCCTGTGTTAAGATCAATAGCTAAGTATTTAAGGCTTTCTGTAAGGGATATTAAAGGTGTTTTAGTAAAGCTGGAACAGCTTTCATCACTAGTCTAATAGGTAACAATTGCTGTGCTGTAGAGATTGTAGTATGAATCTGCTCCTCAAAACTTTGGAAACTACATGGGGATTTTTTTCTCCATAAACCTTTGTTAAATTCAGGAGGGCAATTCTGATGGATATAAAATACGTCTGGAAAACAAAAAAAGAGATCACTTTTTTGGCAAAATATAAGTTCTGGAATCTTTTACCTAATTCATTAGAAGGTTAGAATTTGAAACCCTGAGTCAATGTCAGCACGTTGCAGCATGTTACAGCAGTGGGATGTAGCACATGTGTACATCCTAGCAAGGAAGGGCCTGAAGCTTCTGAAACAGCAAAGAAAAAAATGGTTCTCTTCAATGGCAGTCTCCTTTCCCCAAAGTTTCCATAATTAGAAAAGTATGGAATTTTAACAGAATTAGGAATTTTGTTCCTAATGAGCTTCTGCAAGCTGAATGATCACAACATTAAGGAATTTTCATAGATATTTCTGGTATGATACATATGCACCAGATATGCTTCTTACAAAGGCAGTTCACCCAAGTGGTACATGCTGAGGGAACTCATCTTGAGGTCTTTGTCTAGTTCTCTCCCAAGAGCTGATAAAGAAATACAGTTGTCACAAAAAGCAATAATGCAGATCCTGGGATCTGATAAAAACAATTCAGCCACACAAATAATAATTGAAGTCCATTCCATTTTCCTCTGCATCTTCCACATTCATTTGTATGTCACCTGTCCATTTTTTTCGTTGCTTACTCAAATTCTGTCTTAGCTAGAATGTGAACCCTCATATTTCTCCATATCTGATTCTTGGTAGCCTTTGAATGGTGGTGACTCTGGAAATGATTATTAGCCTGTGTTTTGACATGCCTCTCAAAGGAAATTCATTATGTGTACTGGGTACTTTGGAATTGGTCTAGAATTCTGTGTATTTTCGTGCTTGATTTTTTTATGGATAGTTTTATTTCCGTGTAGTCTCCTTTTATTGCCCCACCTGGCTGTGTTTAGAGCACATGTAAAGGTAAAACTTAATGCATCTATTTCCAGTTACCATACCAAGGCATCCTGCTCTTAAAGCATCACCAGTGGAAGAAGAAGCTGGTAGGCTGATCTGTCTCATGTTGAGGGGCATGTGGGTTGCAGAGTCTTTCTATATTGGTTATTTTGGAAGACTGAAAATGAAGTTCAGAACTCCTCCAGATCACTCTGCTTGGTTCTGGTTGTCGTAATGAAATTTAGCCAGAAAGATTGCTTGTCAAAAAGGACAAGCTAGAAACCTATTCCAGGCAGAAATTATTTTAACTGCCTGCAGCAGAAACCATGAGTTTTTCTCAGCTGATTCTCTTTTTGTTTCCCTTCAGACACAGGTGCAAGGCCAGCCAGCCTCAAGCAATGCATCGGTGCCATCCCAGCCTACTCAACACACTCAGCAGGTAAGATCACAGTTCCTAAACTCAGGACTCACAGTATAGAATTTTGATGACTCTTTTAAGAGCAATTGGCTACTTCTGTCACAATTTGACCCATAGTTTTGCAGCAAAGGAGTCCTCTGGTTCTCACCCAGTCTAACATACTATGAGATACACATTGACTTTGAGATTTATTTTAAAAATCATATTAATGCTTGTTTTCCCATGCATGTCTTCCTCAACTTCCACCTGAGCTTGCAGTGGTGGTCCTTTTCAAGGGGAGACATATCAGGATTTGCAGATCAGACTGTCTAGACAGGCAGACTTTGTTCTTAAGATTTCTTCTAACTGGAAATCTGATCTGCAACATTCTCTAAACTGCTTTGTCTTCCTTTATAGAATCTTCATTCTTGGTTTCACAGGTGAGAGAATTCTCTTGCAAGATTTGGTGTCAATAGTGGAATTTATTAGTAATGCTAATAAGTAACTGCTAAAGCTTAACTGACTTGGTATATTCTGAAGAACCACTGAGATCACTTAGGAGAGAGTAAACAACAGAATTTAAGTAGGCTATGCTTTAAAAAACCTCTGTTAGGGGGTAACACAGCTTCTTCCTCTTTTTTGTGCTGCAGAGTGCACAGCAGCCAGCCTCTTCCCAACAGCCTGGACAGTACCAGCTGCAGCAGCCCTCAGTTTCTGCCAGCACCACTCCTGGACAAACTGTCTCTCAAACTCAAACTTCACAGATCATGCCAATGCCTCAGGCAGCAGCTGGGACACAGGTAAACAAAATTCTTTCTAGCAGATTGTTTTTTTTCTTCTTCTTCACAGCTGGTAGATTCAATATGCTGCTGCTTTCACTTTGTCATCTTTCCTAATGGTTTCAAAACATTCATCCAAACAAGAGTATTCTTACTGTACTATACAAGAGTATTATACTATAACTGCCAGTTTTGTTGGAAAATGTGTCGGAAACCCTTTTACATGTGGTAGTCGTGAGTAATTTGAGGGAAGGAGAGCACTTCGATGCACAAAGATCTTTAAATTGTCAAAAATATCAGGAGGCATATTGATGAATGGTGTACTGTGAACTGATGTTCAGGAACTTGTCATTTCTCTGTTTCCCATCCACTGTCTATCTTCTGCACCATTACATGTATAAAACATATTCACTTATTTAGGTAGTGAACTATAGGACTCCTTTCTTCATTCTGTCATCTTTCTTACTCAGCTCTTCTCCTTTACTTCCTGATCAAGAAGCTTCTGTTACTGAATATTGCTTCATTTTGGCTCATATCTCTGTTGAATGTGTGAGCCGCGATTTTGTTTTTAAAATTATTGTTTTGTTGCTTGTTCATCTAAACTGCCTTTCCAATTGCATCGTTTGCTGGCTTTAATTGACATATTCCCCGCCATTCTCTGAATGCTGGCTCAGTGGATTTTGATTCTCCTTTGCTTTAGTCCCCATACTCAAAGCTGACAGGTTTGTTGTAAGACTTGCCCTTCTTTGCTGTAAGAAGGCAGGCTTGGGTCTGGGGACAGAGCTGAGGGGAATTTGATTCTGTTTATGCACAAATCAGTGCTTCAGGGTATTCAAATGTTGCTCTTTCACCCTCTGTGAGTGTCTGTTTCAAGAGCCTGTTGAGTTCTTCAAGGGAAGTGTTGCAAAGTGAGGACTGTTTGGAACTCCAGCCAGCTTCCCAGCCACTCTGCCAACTGTGCTCCCCAGCCACTTTAACAGAGTGCTGTAACTTGAATAATGCTTTCTTTGACTAATGTGTAAAACTCTGCTTTCCGCAACCCTGCTTTAAAAAAAAAAATCTATCTCTATTTTCTTTACCTCCCCAGCTTCCTGTTTCCCAACCAGTGTCGATCATCCAAGGCGAGCCTCAATTACCTGTTGCAGCATCTTCTCTCCCTCAGCCTTCAGTTGCCCCATCAGTCCCCATTGGTTCTCATTTCCTACCCGTGGGACAGGCCTTGCCAACTTCCGTGGTTCCCCAGTTCCCAGTGTCTCAGTTGCCCGTAGCAGCTCCTCATGTGACAGTGGCTCAGCCAGGTTTCCAGTCACTGCCCATTTCAATGGCAGCTGGCATCAATCAGCCACTGCTCACACTGGCCACGTCTGCTGCGGCAGCTGCTGTTCCTGTAGGACCAAGCCTTGTCCCTAGCCAGCTTCCCACACTGATGCAGCCTGTGGCTCAGCTGCCCAGCCAGGTTCTCCCGCAGCTCCTGCAGCCGACTGTCCAGGCCGTGGGATTGCCAGTCAGCATTGGACAAGCTGCTGAAGCTTCACTTCCTGCTGGAGATGCTCTTTACCAGGTATTGTTGCAAGCCAGCAGACCTCTTCTCCACATTTTTGCCCGTTTCTCTAAGGTACCAGATCTGAGCCGTGTGCCCTGGCCAGCTCACTTCTCATATGAGAGCCATTAAGCCGCTAGGATAAATCCTGTTGTGCGGTAAAGAACCATTTGAAGGAGGAGAGAAGAAAAAAAATTCCTTGGACAACCAGACGTTTTGAATTTTTCATATTTGGCACTGGAATTTCTCTAAAATGACAGAATCATAGTGCAGGGCTTTGTTCAACCACTGTATGAAAGAGGACAGCTATATATTCATGAGAACTGTCAGCTTGGCGAAAAAGAAAATAAGAAATTGTAAGTTTTAAAAAAGGAGATGTGTGTTGGAAAGAAAATCAATGGCAGCATATTCAACAATGTCAGTATCTCATTCCAAGTCTGGGAAGGGGTGGGACAGGGAATTCATAGCAGTCAGTCAGGCAGCATGGATCTTGGATGTGACGTAAGTACCTGATGCTGGTTGTGAACTGCTGGACTGGTGGGCACAGACTGCTTCAGCGACTTTGTGATCACTCACTGTAAAAGTGGCAACCTGAATAATGATAAACATGTTCCTTTGTTTCTGGGTCAGCTCATTATGAGAGGACAGGAAGAACACAAGAGTGTTTTTGCTATTTTGCTATTCCCAAGAATCAGCAGCAGTTGTATAACATCCGAGCTGTAGTTGTTCAGCCTGAAAATTCTTCAAGCTCATTTTTAATCTCAGGCTTTAAAATCTTAAGCTATATAGGCAGCTGCAAGAGTTGGGAGATGAAGATTGTTTTGCCTAAGACTTGGGACTGTGAGTGGGAATTTGCTTGTTCAGACATGGTGGCTTGCATGCTGGCTGCATGAGCAGTTTGCTCTACTTCTTTGGGAAGATTTTGGGAGTGCCTGAACAAGTACAGAAGGTTGGAACGTGCCTCTGATATTTTTTCTATTACTGTCTTGTTTCCTAATTAACTCTGCCATTCACTGACTTGATTCCCTCATTTCTGTTACAGGGCTTCCCATCTCGTCTGGCACCGCAGTACCCAGGGGACTCGAACGTTGCACCTTCCTCAGCTGTGGCCTCTGCCAGCATTCCTTCTGCTGTGCTGTCCCCTCCCTTGCCCACAGATGCCATGGCCCAGCCAGGCTACCTTGCTCCTGTTGTGCAGTCATATGGGGAACAGAATGTTTTAGTTTCCATGGGCAGCCTGGGAGGACAGGTTCAGGTGCCCCAGCCTCCTGTGAGTTTAGCACAACAGGCCTCATCTGCCTCCTCACAGCAGGCAGTCGTGGAGGTAAATATATGGAATATAATGTAACAGTAGAGTTTGGATGTTTGACTCGTGCAACAGTGTATCTCTGTGGGGAACTAATCCCTTCTTGTGCTTGTCTTCAGTTGGAAGTTAATATTTCAAATTACCTTTTTCTTACAGCAGAATGTCATGCCAATGTGGGGACCTTGTTGCCACTGGTTGTTCTGTTGGGAAGTGAGTGTGCATCCTGCAGGCAAAAAGCAGTAAAACACTTCACTTCTTGCTAGTACTGTAGAACATTTTTGCCATATCAAAGGCAAGCTGCAATCAATAGCCTTTGAGAATCTATCATTATGCCTATTCCTTGCAGCGTGGTTCTTGCAGGGAGAATTGGAATTGTCTTTGTGTTCTGCATTGGCTTGCCTTTTGCACATTCTGTTAGTAAGACTGTGACTGCATGGCCAGCTGTAGTGACATGTGGCAGTAGAAAGGATGTTTTGGCTGGTTTCCTCTCCTAACCCCCCCTCAGGTGATGTTTTGCTTCACTGCAGTTTGCTCTAGAGTATTTAGTAAACTAAAGCTGTCCTAGATGCCAGCTGTTTAAACTTCTAAAAAGGCAGAGCTTTCAGCTTTACAGCTGGTTTGGGAGGAAACACTGAAGACTACTGGGTTGCTTGA